CTGTGAATAAAATTTCTGTGCACATTTCTTCACATTTTTGCATTGAATCCTTCAGTTCCAATCACAATTTATAGGATCCTTATGCTCCTTGCTGTTGCGAAATAAAACCACAACCACCCCCGTGTCCTCCCAAATGCTATCGTCGGCAACCACGAAAACCGATCTGCGGCTGTGATCTTTGCAAAAGGAATGCTGACAGCAAATGCTGCAGTCCGACCGTAACTTCTCATGTTTAGCTAGTAATTCTAGAGAAAGCATATTTAAAAATTTCATAGAAGATTTAGCATGTTCAAACAGGCTGTACGCAAGAAATATAAGTGTTATAATTTTAAAATATTAAAATAGAAAAAAGAACATTCACACGCAAAGAAAAGAATAATTACCAATTACATTATATACGGCCATTTCTCGGTACAAGGTATACCTCAATCTCTTTTTTATCTTTCTCTGGTTTAACCTCACAATCAGTACATCTCTTTTTCGATTTTTTTTTCTTCGAAGGACACATCGATTTAAGTTGCTTTTTATCCCGTATGATTTCTGAAACTACTAAATGAATAATTTTTCTAAGATGAACAAATTTTCAAAATGTTCAAAATAATCTTTTAATTGATTTTTATACAAGAAAGATATCAATCACATTTTATCGGATCTGTGTGATATGCTTTATATATTTAAACATATATTTTGTTAATAATCTTCTTCGTATTTACTGTCATTATTTTTATTATTTCCCAATGAATCAGTATTTCTCTTAAATTTATTTCTTATACCAGACGATTAAATAATCTCCGTAGCCTCAATGCTGTATTGATAAAGTTAATGTAATCGGTGTACGCATTTTTTTTTCTTTGAATATCATTAAGATGTCTTAACACACGGTTTAGAATGCGATAAGTAAGAGTTTTTTTTTTTTATCTAATTGTAAGCACTAATGTTATACGATTCTGTTTGTTTCAGAAATGTATAGATAATATTTTTATCAAATTCTGTTTTCTCTGCAATAGCAATCATGATAATATCAAAAAATTATTTTAATGGTTATTGAGTAATTAATAGATCATAATTATCATGATCGTAATTATTTTATAAAATATTTCTGATTTAAATTTTGATGTGACTAAATAAATACAATTTTACATTGATTAATTTAAAAAGATAATTATAACAAATAATTATAATAATTATAATAAAAGATGGATCTAATATATATAATGGAAAATTTAAAAACAAATAAACAAATAATATTTATACGTATTTCTGTTCGCCATAGTGTGATTTGCGAAATCGAGTCTACTATAACAAAAAATAACGCTGCGGTTATTCGCGGTAGGTTAAATTTAGGTTCTTTCGTTCGCTTCTATTCGGATTACTCATATTCAGTACGCCCAGCTAACAAGTAATCTTATCAAAGGTAAAGCTAAGTTCGAGTCGAGGATATTCATAATGGGATCGAGTCAGTTATCTGCAGGACACGCCCGTTTCAACTGTGGCGGAGTACCGAAAAAATTTTAGTGCTTTTTATGTAAGTCTACAAAATAATGTTTTAAAAAATAGCTTCTTTATTATGCATTTTTGCGGTTTTTATTTTACGCTACATTTTCTGCATAATTGAGCGATACATGATAATATTAAACGTGATATTTAATGGGTCTACTGCAAAATAATTCAACGATACTTTAATATATCGTAAAAAAAAAATTAATATGAAATATGATAGATTATATATTTTTTAGCTCCAATTAATGATTAATTATTTTTTACATAATTATTTTCGGACATTATTAGAGCATCAACAATTAATTTTTTCTTCCGATAATACAGCAATATGATTCGATTACGTAATATTACAGTGAAATCCATTTAATCTCCGACTTAATTTGCGAATCGTATGAAAAAAATAATCACGGTATTTTTTGCCATCATATCATTTATCGTAGCGGTCAAAAGTGTGTTTTTTAACTTAATAATTATGCATATCGTTAATTATATCAAAACTAGAGAAATGTACATTTTCAAGACTGATTAGAATTAGTTTAACGATGCTTATCATTTTTTATCATACTCTTTATCTCGAGGTAAAGTCAGAGTTAAATTCATTTATTGATTACTGTAGCATAGTATATAGATAAATGTATAATATATCTCACACAACTCTCGCGACCTCAATTTCAATAATGGATAAAAAAGTTCTTTAGAAATTTAAAGATATATATTTTAATAAAATATAGTTTCTGAATCAAGCCATTAAAATAGAAGAGCTTTTTGTGAACTAAAATTTAAGATAACAAATAAATATTTATCATGATTTATTTTGTATTAATATCATTTATTTATCAGTTATTTTTTTTTTTTGGATTGATGAAGGCAACCGTTTATTATTTTACTTTTTGTAACTAATTGTTCAATTTTTTGTAATATTACATTTTATGTCATTTATTAATACTATTTTCGGAAATATTAATCAAAATAATTGTATTGTTAGAAGAATAAAGCTCGTAACTTTCCTATTTTTTTTATTTTCCGATTTTTTATTAATTCTGATTGCTCTCGATATGGGTTGCTCACAATTAATCAACGTTATCGCAGAATATCGCAGAAATGATTCTAATTCAAAGGATGAACTCACGATCGATAAACATCAAGTTGTTTGCCAACTCGACACTCGACACCTGTTGATACGTTCAAGCATGCGCGTTTTTGTCCAGTCTCACTATCGATTCTTGACTGTAACGATATTTCGACTAGTAACGGACGATGAGTCGATCACACGAGTGAATCGACCAAGACTTGATGGAAGTTGACATGGTAGGTGGGATAAGTGAGTGCAGATTGTGAAAACGGTCCTATATTGTCCATGTGTGTTTTTCTCGATTAATCAGACGTAGACAAGTTTCGGTAACTGTCAACTATCGGAAGTTTAAGTTTCGTCAATCAGGTAAATTAATGCATAAAAATTTGTATGATTATATATATTTTGCCAGAATTATTGCGTAGTATGAAAGTATGCCGGCTTGCCTCGCGTGTGAGTCATACCCATCACGAGAAGACCTGTTTGACGTCAATATTTGTTAGGCATATAGCTGTGCATAGTTGTGCGATTGGAAATTCCAATGCTTTAGGAACCACTAAAACCAAAAAAAATAATTAAATATATATATATATATAATAGTTTTTATTGAAAGAGAAAATTAGATTCTTTTTGCCACGTATTTCTGACACTAAAGCGGAGAGAAAAAGATTTTTTTGTTGTTGTTATATAATTCAATGATATTTTACATATTACTGATGATATTTTACATATTACATAATAATTTTTTGAATAATCTAATATAATATTTCTGTATTTTTTCTATCTTTTTAAATTTATAAAGACTTATGAGAGCTTTTAGATTTTTAAGAAATTTATGTTATATATTATAGTTTTTTTGATTCACTATAATTTATTGTTCAATTCATGTTTTATAAATACAATATTCAGGCAATTCGTTCATTTTCAAAAATGTAATAAGTTTAATAGAAACTATTTTTTTATATTTTGCAGTAATCCATGTTTCCAATATAATAAAAAATTTTTACGTGAATAGTAGTTTGTCGAATTCTTTCAACGATCTTATAACACATAAGATCTGTTATTAAGGTCAATTTTATACAAACATGAAAGATCGGTTATATTATGTTTGCATATAGACATAGACGATATTGAAATGATGTTGGACGTAAACAAATAATATTGATATGTAAGGAATACGTTACACGCGTAAAAGTTTTCGAAATAATTGATATGCTTATTATCATGTATTCGTTCACTTTTTTATAAAAACTCTAATTAATTCTAATAAACTCGCATTAAAAACTCTTTACATAACCGTCTTAAAAAATTGATAACTGCTTATCATTTTTGATCGTAATTATTCTTTCAAAATGCTCAATTTTGCGTCATTTATTCTTATGTAGTCTACCCTTATCGCGAGACTACGATATTAACAGGTTGTTATATTCGCAACTATTCAGGATAATCCTGTAGAATAACCGGTTTTGCCACGTAATATATCTTCAAGCGACTTTTTCCTGTTAGTCTGCGTAAAAAAAATATTTATTTTTATATGGCTATGTATAAACTTGGCAACTTGGTATTGCAAGATATTAAATGTTACAGTGCATATATATTTGCATACTATAATGTGTACCAAAATAGCAGCATCAAAAATGTATGATAATTACTTCTATGATTATTTATCGAAATCAAAACTGAACAGAAAGTATTAAATACTTATTAATACATTTATAAATTTAATCTTCCAGTAGACAACTGGTTTTCTATCTCGCAAAGAGTGAGAGTAACTTCTTTGGTCATTGTAATCTCTCTCTCTCTCTCTCTCTCTCTCTCTCTCTCTCTCTCTCTCTCTCTCTGCTAATAGATAATGAATCTACGCTTCTATAGAAAAGATATAAGGTTTAAAATTGGATTGTTATTGTAAAACATATTAGACAATATTTGACAAAGAGAAACATAAAAAGAATAGTTTGAAATTATATAAAAAATAACAAAGATACAAATAACTATCGGTAATATAACTTCAAAAAGTAGAAGCCAAAATTATTGTAAATTTTATGAATACAATTTTCGATGTTGTGAGAAAATCTCTGCATCGAGTTTTATTTTCTTGTCTCGAACTTTGTTATACCGGGTTTAATTTCTCATTAAGACATGTCGTCTTACGTTTTCTTTTCGTGATTCGATCGCGATCCAAGTCGACGATCGGCGCGATAGATCGACAATCAGCTTCCTTCGGAGGCAAAGGAGAAAGGGAAACAGAGCGATTGTCGGATGCAATGATGTTTTCGGATTTATGTGATACCCGCGCGATTATTTCGGGTCAGCATGTGATGCGTACGAGTTCCTCAGGGTCACGATCGAAGATCGATTAGGTCCCATGACAATTTGAGCCGCTCGAATGCGCGCTTCTTCACGATTGGTCATACCATCACGATCATCTACGTCGACGGTCTCCCTCCTCTCGACGAGGTCTGGGATTTTCCTGACGGGATACCAACGATCGCTATTTCATGTTCGTTCGCCGGCTTATCCTTCGCAGTACGCGTTCGAAGCTCGAAGAAAACGAATTCTCGATAGACAAGATGCGTATACGTAAGTAAATTCATCAATCGAGAGCAACGTTGGCTAATCCGATTTGCTCTTATCTCGCGATTATTTCTTTCTCGATTTACGATATCGGATGCGAGCAAGTTTGATTGATCTTTTATAAATCAGCAAAATGCGCGAAATAGAGATCGGTAACCGGTGTAATTTCGACTTTGTCCGCAGATTTTGAGGCTGCAAATACACGAAAATGACTTTTTCATACATATTTAAGACAATTTGTATAATTCTGTGCATCGAAAATTGAACCAAATAATATTATATCGAAATTGTGAACATTTAGTATATTGATTTTTAGATTCTTTTAGATCGATAAAGATTTTTCGTAAACGTGTTGTATAAACTGTCAATTTTTATTATACATATATCATGTATAATAACATCGCATATTAGCTCTTAGACATGCATGCATGGATTTGAAAATGATTAACCGATATTTTTATGAAATTATTCATTATTTTATAAAGTATTATATATACAATAGCGATAATTCTATAGAATTATCAGAGATTGTATAAAGTCACTGAATTAATTATATTTATCGCAACATATATATATATTATTTTCGAGCAAATAGTTCAATTATTTTAATTATCTATCTAATTTTGTGTGTGTATGTGTACATGTCTGTGACCAATAACTTTCAAGACACATACCACTTTTATTATTGTTTTGATTTTTATGTTTGTACGTTAAGCGTTATATTTTTAAAGTTACAATATAAAAATAAATTTTTTGGTATTGTACTTCGACAGCATACAGATCTTGATTTAAACATTTTCAAATATTTTCAAACATTATCTCAACTTTTTCGTCTATTTGATTTACTATATGTCTAATAAAAAATTTTCAAAATTTATTCTTTCCTCAAGAATTAAAACAAAATATTTTTAAATGACATCAAAAATTAAAAATTAAAAATATAACGAAGAAAGAAAAGTCGCGCGAGACAAGCCATGAATAATATTTGAGACAGAGAGCGAACATGAATAATGAGAGAAAGTAAGATCTGAAATTCAATTGTAGAACTCGATTTATTTTAATTAGTTTCTCATTTTTTTTCTTTTGCATTAACAAAACCAAGTAGACTATCAGATACAATCGCTCCTGTGGCCGCGATAGCTCCAACCTGATCTTTGCATAAGTGCGCCGTTATCGATGTTTCGCCAAATTTCCTCTTAATTGACGACGAGGTCTTATCGATACATACCAAATTGTCGAACCGGTGATAATGCGACTCGGCGAGTCGTAATTCCCTCGTGATATTAGGTCCAAGGTGATCCGCTGCACCGACGAGCTCTGGATACAATTCTCGTTTGTCGTGATTCACTTCGAGTTGCGTAGTATGAACTTTTCTTTCATTATCAGTATTAATTAATATCGCCACGTCAGAATCGATATATTGCGATTATAATATATATATGATCTAGTTGTATCATTAAGCATGCAAATTTATGCTCGATATGATTATGTTGTTTTTTCATGTGTGTATATGTGGGGAGAGGAGGGGGGCACGTTACCTCGCACATTGTACATAAATTTGAGCAGAAAACGAATAAGGAAAGAAATAAGAAAAGTCTTATAAATTTTAGATAGAATAATGTTAATCTTTTTATTTTAACTTAATTTAAATTGATAATAAATCTATCATCGATTTTTTATCTTTCTTTCTCTCTCTCTCTCTCTCTTTCTTTTTAGTATTATACAAATAAATAAGATAAAACATCTCTTAAATAGTGAGATAATTATTGAGTTCTTTCAACTCTTGATACTTCCACGTGGATTTTTTTCTGTCGTATCACAATCTTTACGTTTACGATTTGCACTCAACGTTTATATACACAAAAGATAACGAATCTACTAAAATTTTATTGCTATATTCAAAAATCTTTTATTTTATAAAATACATTCTAAAATAATCATGATTATCAATTTATATTTCCGCAAATTCACGATATATGAATGACTAGTACGTTTATTTTTACTTTACATTAAAACCACAAAATAATCTTTTGTAAAAATTCCTTATACATAACTATTATCGTAAAATAAAATTACGCAACTTATACGTAACTATTATCGTAAAATAAAATTATGTACCATCAACATCAAGAAAAGAAAAAAGATCCAAACGAAAAAATATGTATAATATTGGGAATTTTTGTTAAGTAAAATGTAATTATATACTATCATTTTGGATATATATTTATAACACATTGATTAATCAATTATATCTCGATTATTTCGCCGATATTTTTACACAAATATTTGTCTTATTAAAAGCAATTAGTTTTTTTTCTCATTTTTTCTTTATAATATGTGGAAGTTATCAATTACTACCGAGAAAACTGTTATACACAGAAAGATTGCTGCCGTAAATTTATCTCAACAAATTTTGATGAAAAAGTTATGTATTTATGAGATACATTTATATGACAGTAGAGATACTTCTATAACGTGTGTTTATAAGATTTGTTTGTCTCGTACATATATAGGTACAGTCGTCAAGCATGATTAGTCGTGTATATAACGAGATTGTTACATTAGCGCGTTGATGGGTTTTCCCCGATGAGAAAATATCAGTTTAACGGCATAGTCATTTTCTCGTGAGAGAGAAAAAGAGATATTTGTTATTTACATCTCGTTAAATACGAGAAAATCTCGTCACGTATATTTATATCGACTGATTCTTACTTTAAACAATTTTGAGAATTAGTCAATCATCTTGTTATCAGACTGTTTTCGATTTTGCAATTGTATTAGATAAAAAATATTATTTCCAGATAATGAAATACTTCTAGGACAACGGCTTTCTTAAAACTTTTATTTTTTCTGCTAATAATCTTCTCATGTCATATTTATGATAAACATAGACATTGTAACCAACATTATGATAACTTTATGCAATTTCGTATTTAATTTGCTACTCGTTATCACACAAACAATATTTTTTCTTAATAATTGAAGATATGGACAAATATCATTAAGCAGACAGCACGTAATACCGGGTATGATTTCTTTGCGCGCGCGTTAGCATAGCGACAAGCTATATATATTTTATATTCTTTTTTCGAAATTATTGCGCAACGGTACAATTGAGTATACGGAATGTTCCCAGGTTCTCTTCCTTTTAATAGGAAGCACTGAAGGCCAAAATATAAAGAATAGAGCAATTGTTTCTATTATCAGATTATCAGATTGTTGAATTAAAAGCGACTGAGAAGAATAATGACTTGCGGTGAATTTCGGGTTAGAAAATGAATAAATGACGAAATACTGTATCATTAACTTAGTAGTTAACTTGAAACAGTTTGAGATAAAACACATAGAAAAATGATAACTTGTTTAGTCGTGATTATCTAAAAAAATATGTTTTTCCATATACTCTCTTTTATCAGAAAAAAATTAAATTCATTATTCACCAAAATAATATCTCTTTCTATCCATATTTTAAAACAGACTTTTAATTTGTTGAGAACTTCATTAAAGTTTTTGAAAAAATGAATTTTTTAATTAACTTTTAAGAAGATTGAGATAAATGATTAGAAAGAAAAATATTCGGCAATTCTTTACTCTATATATTAAAATTACATCATTAACCCGGATGTTGATATCGCGGCGTCCAATACCATCTTTATCGTGACCACATTACATAATTGTCAAACTTTTGCCCTCCATTAATTTGATAAAATGAGGTCGCGTATACATCTGCTGTATTAAGCAATATCTTTCATTATCACTTCAATATCATTGCTCTTATTTTTGTTAATTCCATCCTTTATCACTCTCTGACAAACTTTACTGACCATAATTAATTTTAAATTTGGATGATTTATCAGTGGTGATTATGTCATATAAAAATTATATAAAAATTGAAATAAAACATAGACGATTGAAATAATAATAACTTAAAAAAAAAACGTCTTAAATTATTGCTGTATCTTTAACTTATTTCTTCGAGACTTACGCAATTTCATAGTTATATTGTTAAACGCAAACACAATATGTGATCTGTCGAAAACAGATTTATGTGCAATTAAGGATGACAATAAATAACGATGTTTGGCTTGAGTCATTTGCTTTGAATTTTCATATACTTGTGGACTGGATAATCATTATTTATTTAATTAGTCATTATACTATAGCTTAGTTACGTGGGAATATTCTCTTCGTAATATTACAAATTTTAATAATATCTTTATTGTTAATTTTTATATAAATTATTTAAAGAATTTCTCAAAGTGGAAATACGGAGAGAAAAAGTAATTATTAATATTTATTATTATTAAATTAAATTGTGGCACATATACAATATTTGTATTATATACATAACACAAATCGCATAATCATTTGAAATTATTTATGATAATAATTTTTTGTCGCGTGTTAATAATATTATGTATGCTATTTAATTAATTTTGAATTATAAACTATTGTCTCTCTCTTTCTCTTTTTCTCTCTCTGCGTATTTTCCAAAAGCATAGATTGATGCATGTGTGGAAACATTATAACTCAAATTCCTTACATTTATCTCGGAATTTCTAATAATATCCGTGAAAGAATAATGCCGTAATAATGATCGTAATAATGATGTGAGAGAAGAATTATTTCCATTATTACAGTATTTCTCTTGAATATCTACATTGCATAATAATCATAAATATGAATATAATTACTAGTCATTATTTCAAACTTAAATGTAGAAACATGATTTATCATCGGAATTATTTAATTAGAATCATAAAAAATAGCAAATTATGGCAAAGCCATAATCTAGAGAAAATTAATTTATAATATATATTTACGAATAAAAATTATATATAGAAAAGGTGTCAATTAATACTTTATAACTTAGAGAGAATAGCCTTTATATAAATCTTTTTACAAAAAGAAATTTGGAATTTAATTTAATAATTAGTTTTATTGAATATTTTAATTAGGGTGAGCAGAAATTACTAAATGTTTATTTTCTTAAAATCTATAATGTGTTGCTTTACTATATATTTAGAAATAATAATACTATATTGTTATCTCTTTTGAATTGTTATAATGTTCACACAGTAATTTTTAAAAGATTCATATATTACCTTGAATGTGTACATGAAAGATTCATGGTAGTAGTTTCATGTTTACCTTGGACGACTTGTACGAGACTTAATTTCAATTTGTATACGACCTATACGTGCATTTAATTTTCGGCAGCGATTCTATAATGCCGAAAGCGACTTTTTGCATTAAATTTGAACAACACGATATATTACTATATTAAAAAGTATATTAAATTGATGAAAAGAATAATGCGTTATTTATTGTTTTCAGGACAATTGTATAAACGCGAAATATTTAAACATACATATATATTTTTTATATTGTTAATATATAAAAAATTGATATATTTTGGAGCGCAAAATTGACTTAGTATTATAGTTAAGTAATACTGAATTTTGAGATACATTTATCATTGAATCTTTTTCTTTTTATTATTGCAGTACAAAAAAGTCTTTTGGCACTTTGCCTGTTTGCATCAGCCATGGCAACGCCAACGCCAACTGGAAGCATTGAAGCCCTTCAAGCTGTTTCTCAGGGCGCCCAATTATTCTCTACCAATTTCATTAAGGTATATAATAGAATTTAATTAATAGAATTAAATATTCTTAATGGAATTAATTATTCTATTAAGAATTTCTATTTAGAGTTATTATTATAAAATTAATTAAATATTAAATATTCATAATAAAATTAAATATTCTTAAAGAGAAAAAAAGGCTTTATTAGACTCTATTGTGATATAATACAATTTTTTTGTTGAGTGTTATTTATAAATTTAATACCGTATCAATAAAATAATTGTTAGAAAGCGGGTTTCACAATTCATATTTACAATATATAAATTTATATTAATTTTAATACAGCACAATTAATGTTAAATTGTCAATAATTTGGTAATGAAGTAATCGATACAAACGCATCGTCAAATTAATTTTATATTGTTAGTATGAAATTCTAATGGCATAATGTTCAAAGCGCATATTTTTTTTTTCTGTTAGACTGTTGCAAAAGAGCGGCAGGACAATCTGATATCTTCTCCTTTGAGTGCCGGTATCGCTCTAAGCATGGCAGCTAACGGCGCTGCCGGAACTACTGAAACGCAATTTAGGGATGTTCTTCATCTTCCGTCGAAGACGCAGACCCTGACCGGCTTTCAGAACCTCATCGATATCCTGAATGTAATTATCCATACATTATACATAGTATATTGTACAAGAATATATGTTTATAAAACATTTTATAAAATTTTATAAAACATAAATCCTCTAAGTTCAAGAATCAGAAAATATTACAGAAAATATAATATTTATAAAACATAAACGTGATCAGATTACATTATAGAATATAATTATCCACTGAATTAGTTTTAAAGTCATTTTTCGCAATATATGCTTTGACATTTAATTTTCGAATGATTAAAACGGTGCGAATATTCTCTTTGCAGAATGTTGAAAATGTTACTTTGAAGCTCGCTAACAAGCTATTTATCGGCAAAGATTTCCAAGTGAAATCGCAATACAAACAAGATCTCCAGACGTACTACCATTCTGACATCGACTCGGTAGATTTTAGTCAAAGCGCGAAGGCTGCGGATACCATCAATACGTGGTCCAAGGAAAATACCAATAACCGCATCGATAGCATCGTGCAAGCCGGTAAAGAACAATTCATGTTTCGTGTCTATTTATACAATTATAATGGCGATCGAAAAAATGCAGTTTTTTTATTTTATATTTTTGCATAAATAATTTAAAATATAAAAATAGAATAACAAAAAATAGCAAAAAATTTAGTATTTCGCCAAAGTAATGTATGCTTTAACTATTTAGATTTAGATAATATATATATATAAGAGAGATAATATATTACAATACTTATCGAAATGACATACAATATAAAAGATCGATCAAGTTCTTTAAAATTATCTAATTTATTGAATTGATAGTGAATATTGTGCATGGCTTTGATTATAGATGATTTGGATTCCTCCCTTGCATTGGTACTCGCGAATGCCGTGTACTTCAAGGGCAATTGGGCTCATCAATTCGACCCAAAAGCCACTACTGAGCGCCCGTTCCACATTAACGCCACTGACGTAAAACAGGTTCCTACTATGTACAGGAAGGGCAATTATAAATACGTTGAGTTGCCGGAACATGAGGCTAAATGCATCGAGCTGCCATACGCGGTAATGTTGCTTTCCTAAATTTTGAAATTTCCTAAATATTGAAAAACAAGATTTTTTTTCAAATGTTTGAGATATGCTAAATTTTGCTACGTTTCTCCGAAAAATTTTCATTTCACGACGTCTTCACGGGAAGCTTCATGAATTTATTTTTATTGTTGCAGAACAAAGAGATTAACATGGTGATTATCCTGCCCGATAAAATCGATGGTCTCGCTGCATTGATCAATAATCTCGAGGCAGTTTCTCTTGATTGTAATGTCCGCCTTGCCCAAACGTACGAGCGCGAAGTCCGGGTGTATCTGCCCAAATTCAAGACCGAGTCCAAACTAGATCTTGGAGATACATTATCTACAAAGGTATATCATAACGTTTCACGGATGATCCGTGTTTAATCCGATTCGCAGATGTCTTATACGCAATTATCATTTAATGTTGTAGATGGGTCTTTCTGAGCCATTCAGTAATACCGCCAACTTCAATGGCATTTCGGACATACCTCTGAAAATCGACAAAGTCGTGCAAAAAGCTTTCATTGAAGTTAACGAGGAGGGCAGCGAGGCAGCCGCCGTCACTGGTAAGTACATCTTGTTTTATTTCTTGCACATTCTTGTTTGTCAAAATCGGGCGAAATATTATCTCTTGAAGTTTTGGATATAGAAGCAATTTAATTCACAACTTAAACAATTTTCTTCAAACAAATATTTTTATGATTTCTTATCGAATTTTATTATCTCTTATTTTTATTTCATTTTTTATCAATTTATTTTTTTTATAATATCTTTGTTATCATAAAATATTATTACTTATAATATCAACAAAACTATAAAATATATAATTTAATAATGTGATTTATAATGGAAGCAGAGCAAGGAGAAAAATAATAGCAAATACGATAAAAAATAATAATCTCATATTAAGAGCAAGATAGTATTTCGCCAATTTCTATTTTTGGAATACATCAAAACTCTTTTTCGCTTCTGGGAAACTCTGAGAAATTGTTTTAAAGACGATTCGTTATACCTGTGCATGCGCTGACGTTATTAATATTACAAAATTCCAAATTTTTCGTTCTCGGAGTTTCTGTAGCACGGATGTATGTGACTTTGTACAATGCCGTTATTTTAAGCTGACATGAATGTGATAGCTAAATATTGCTCTTATATCGACATACTTACTTTTTGTACTTGCTTATACTTGCTTGTATTTGCTTTTTATGTCGACATATTATATTTGTCAATCGGCACTATTTTTTTTATTGTTCTTTTTTTCTTTTTTTGTCCATTTCTCAATGTCTTGATTGTCTTTTGCGGGTATATTATTGCACTGTAAATACGCATTTTACCACACTGCATCGCATTTTGTTTGATCGTGCACCTTTTACTCACATGCATTTATTGATCGTGTTATTTTTTGCATCAGACAATGACAATTATATAACATTATAACCGCATTGATATTTATGTAATTTATTGTTTTTGGATTATAATGATCTTATAAATTGAAATTTTATAATAATTGCGTAACGTTTCGGTGTTGCGACTAGCGATACTCGAAAAATCTTCGCATTTAATTTACATTTTTCATGTAATTAACATGAAAACTTAACGGTGAGTACAGAAACATAGCCTGTGTTCGTATTGCGAATAGCTTTCTTCTACAAAAATTATATGAACGATTGAAAATTGAGTGATTCAAATTCAAAATTTGAAGAATTTTAAATACAATATACCGCATTGAAGTTAAGACTTTACAAACTTTTCCGATTTCTGAAGAAAATTCCGCGAGTGATGCTGAAACAACAGAAGCTCAGAATTTCTGGACGTGAAATTACGTTTGAAGTGGATCTTACAGATTTGATATTCATCTCATGTGTATGAATCATCTTTGTCAGAATTAAACCATCCATATTAATATATCATCGCAAAATTATGCGGCTCACAATCACGACGATAACGATATAACCGTGTGATAACTGCTGTATTCGTAATATTACGTGAATACAAAATCTCGTTGCAGTGAGTAGTGTTAAACCATTTAATCACATTAATCAAGCAATAGTATCTCAGACTAATGAATTCTACTGATGAAAAAGAGAGAGGAAGGGGTAACGAAATTTTGAGAGAAAATCTTTCAAGCCAGTTATAATTGCTTTATTGTAAGAAGTAACTGAGAACTCGTATTACTATCGTCACTCTTTGCTACAAAATTTTACTATGCAATTTTACTACGGCGAAGCATATCTTTCTTGATTTCATCACGGATTCGGATATAATTCGGAGAGAGAGAAAGAGATTCGCCTTCTTGTACAAAATATTATTTTTAATTCGATTACACAAGTAAAAAATTGGCATAAAGAGACGCAGGACTAAGGAATTTATACGATAAATAATAGCAATCTCGACTAGAAAATTAAACACACACAAGTAATATTTTTCCGAAAATATAGGAGGTATATATAGGAGGTAAAAGAGGCGAGCGATTTCACTTTTTTGGAAAGATTAATTGATCAAGATTAATTGATTCAACAGTATCAGTGATTATCACGATATACCAAGTTCTTCTTTCTTTTTCCTGCACTCTCGGATCTAATTAGTTGCGCTCCAGATTAAACTTCCTCGCATTAGTAATATCTCATTTGAGCGTTTCACATATATACATACATCTGTATCCTGGGTGTATAAAGGGGCAATCGAGTTCGCTCATTAAAACAAATAATTGATGCAAGGAATCATCTTCTGACAGGTGCCTCTGTCAGACCACTTTCCATTGTCTGGAAACCGTTGGAGCCTATTACACTTGAAGTCGATCATCCTTTCCTGGCGATCGTTAAATACAACGGCCTAGCGTTATTTATAACGAAGATTCTGTGGTAGTGATGATGCACATTTGTATCTTTGCATGCATTAAAACAATAATTAGATAAAAATAGTAATCAGTATCCTTTTTATATATATTATCGTTGTTATATAAACGTGACGAAGACGCGGATATTCGAGGATCTTTTGTTTTTAATATATCTATATATCTTTTTGTTATCCATATATCGATACTCAACAACTCTATCTGAAACTCTTTGATTAGTACATAAACGATAAGGACACAATTTACGATCAATAAAGTATATATATCTCGAATAATATGATATATACGATACATAAACAAGATATAAAGATTGATATTATATTTATATGTAAATTAAATTTTTTTCTTAAATTCTTTTAAACATTTAAATCCCTTCAAGATTGACTATGTACAAATTCGCAATTTTGACAATTTGTTTAACAATAAGTACAATTAATATTAAAAAAAATATTCTCAAGGAATTTTATTCAATAATACAAAACAATATGAAATATTAACAGCATCTTTCTGACAATTTTACAAATGAAAAACACAATCCATATTTTTTTATCGTTTATTCAAACATTTACTTTCGCTTTATAGATATTCTTTTAGCTTTAATGAATTTGAAAATTTTTTTTTTGTCAATCAATTTTCTTTGCATTTGCTGATTATTTTTAGCTGATTTTTTTCAGTCCTATTTGCCAAATTTTACATATAACGTGTCCATTATGAGGATTTAAAGTGCATTTAAATCAGTTCAAAAGACACTATTTTTTATTAATTTAAATTTTTACACATTTTTAGATTCTTCTCTATGAGATTTTCCATTTCCGTTAGAAATAGAAGATAATAAATAGCATATATTTATTTTATTCTTTCCCATGGAATTTTCCTTTTCGTTGGAAATAGAAGATAATAAATAGCATAATAGAGTTACATTCAATAACATTTTTTTGTTAGTTTTCTAAATTATTAACATCGCGTGAATTAATATCAATAACATAATATAATATTTTTAATAATGTAAAAAACCTTGTTATATATATTGTAACATGCATAGTTACAATTAAGTATTATAGTACGCAAAGATATAATTATATTAAAATTATAAGATCTTTTTCGAGAATATGATAAATGAAAATTCCAAGCAAACTTTCTCTTCAATGTCTTCAACTCATTTAAAAGTACTTGGACACGCTTCCTGGTTGCTTCTTAAAATTTGATCATAAAAGATTACATGGTGGGATTTGACGTTTCTCCGATAGGCATCAGCAGCCGAAGATTTCTACCTGATTTCGTGACCTTCGAAGCGAACAGGCCGTTCTCGTTCGTAGTGCGAGCGTCAAATTTCGAGCTACTCCGAGGCAACATACATGATCCGAGAAATTAATGAAATATGCGAACGTCATTAAAATGTGGTATAGCAGCTAAACAACCTAGTAAGACTTGCCTATTAATCTGCTTATTTTTTTTTCTCTTTCACTTTTCGTTCTATTATTTTTACCATTAGCGACCGCTACTCAGTGTAACTCTACAGTTTTCAAGTAATCGATTCTCTCGCAAGCTCTTGGTGACATGATTATCACTCTATTTTTGGGAGACTTATCTACTAAATGACAGAATTTTTACATGAACATTTGGAAAAATTCGACGCAAACGCTATTAACAGCAACAATCGTAAACCGCGAGAAAAATGTCGACAAAGAAGTACTTTCTCAGAGAATCAAATTAGCAACAGTACAAAATGCGTACATTCGTGCACTAGTTATATTGATGAGAAAGAACGTCGTTGATGCGACATCTGATTATTGATATTTTGTTCGCAGCTATTCTAATCATGCCACTTAGTATAAGCTGGACACCTCCACAGCTACAAATTAACATAGATCGACCGTTTTATTATTATATTCGTTATAACAAGGAGACATCGATCCTACCTTTGTTTGAGGGTCATGTGAATATGCCAGAAGTGTAATAGATATTACGTGAAGAACTTTTAATTAAAAAATTTAGCGTTTCGATGTTTTTATTATAATATTTATTAGCAAATTCATAAAAAGTAACCAGATAACAAGTACAGATTATTTAAACGTCAAATATATTTGCTACCTGAGCATGTTCTCGATATCGGCAAATATTACTCACAATCAGTTTTAATACGACTCTTGTCTTAGCTGATTTATTCGATCTCGTTATAGCAATGCAATCTTAAAATCTAAAATTTTTGATGATTCCGTGTATGTAATTTTCCTAAAAGGAATAACATGGATCGTTTATTAATATATATATGCTTATATATTTGCGTTTTAAATTGAAACTAGATGTTTGATAAAAGTTATCGATAAGAGAGAAACCGAGATGTGTATCAAACTCGAAACTGTGTCGACATACATTCGTGAACGTGGAAAAAGCCCTTGAAAATAATCAGACAAATATATAAGCTGACACCAGTTACATTCTGTTCACAGTTATCAAAATTTCTCGTGGATAGAAACTATATAACCATTGGTGTTTGACGTAAATCGATTATTTTATTATTATATTCGTTATAACGAAGGGACATCGTTTTTCATATCTTTATTCAAAGGTTGTATAAACGTGGTATAAAGATCGATAAGAAATTAAAAATCGAGATCAAGTTCGAGAGATGGTGTGGCAAAACATGTTCGGAGACGTCAGTGAAAAAAGCATTGAATGATCAAATGCATAATAAACAATATTTCATATATTCAATTTACTAAGTTATTAACTTAATTGTTGAAAGTGCTTGAAAAGAAATCACAAAATTATTGACATTAGAGATTGGCTGTTCTATTATTATATTCATCATAACGAAGGAACATCGTCCATGAATATTTTTATTCGATGGTCATGTAAATGTGCCATAAGTGTAATAAATATTATTTAAAATAATCTAATAATTTTAGACTGCTCGTGCTATATAATATTTATAGTCTTTGTTATGCTTCTTGTATAAGAATAGATACTCTTAGCGATTTAATCCATCGAATTATGATAACGTGATTTTAAAGTCTCAAATTTTTTCAAAATCAAATAAGCTTGAGAAAATTATTTTTCATACATTGTAATATTTTTGTAATCATGATCTATGTGTAAAGCTTTTTATTCGGTTGTCAAATGATATTTGGCGATGAATGTTTATATATTTTTATATCAAGTCATCTTTTTATAATTATACAGCTTGATACGCATTTGTGATAGAATAATAAGAAGTTAAAACGTTGATAATTATGCATATTAGAGGCGACCTCACAGATATATATTTCAATAGTCTTGATATATATTTATTATCAAGGACACAGCTCCCTGAGTAATTTTTAAAAAGTTTTAGCTGTCGCTCGTTGTTTATTAAAAAGTTTTAAAATTTATTCAGGGCAGTGCCCTTGATAATATACATCAAGGCCATCATAAAATGTATATATATATATATATATTAGGCACATTCAAGTTGTACGTGGAGTAAAGTCGTTGTTCCATAAAAGTTGCATATACATATATAATGTGGTCAAGAAGTCTCGGATACAAGTGAATATATATGAGTGATTTTTTGAATAATTAAACGAATATATATGAGTTGATTTCACAGTTCTGGAAGCTATGACCGCTGTTTTAATAAACCAACCATTGATATTTGATAAAAATTGATCATTCTATTATTTTAATCATCATAACGAGGAAATATCGTTCGTATCTCTGTCCAACGGTCGTGTAAACATACTAGAAATATAACAACCATTATTCTAAAGAAAAATGTTTTATCTAAAAATTTAACACTTAATGTGCATTATAGTATTTATTAGCAAGTTCAGAAAATCTCTTTTTGATATTGGCTGGCAACTATATTCTGCTTGCTTTTACTGTGTATCTTAATTTAAATAAACGTAATCTGGTTAATCTTTGAATGATTAAGCAAATATATAATGAGTGGTTTCTTATTTTTTGTTCGCAGCAAGCAGATACCGTTTGGGCAGGGGCCCTATTTTAAAAAAAGAACCATTAATATTCGATATAAATCGATCGTTCTATTATTGCATTCTTTATAAGAAGGGATCATCGTTTGTATCTCTATTCGACGGTCGTGTAAACATGCCAAAAATATAACAGCCATTGTTTTAAAAATATGTTTTTATCTAAAAATTTAGCATTTAATGTGCATTATAGTATTTATTAGCAAACTCAAAAAATCTCTCTTCGATATTGATTGAGAAGTGCATTCTGTTTGCTTTTATTGTGTTATCTTGATTTAAATATACGTGTCTGGTTCGATCTCATCGTGAATAACATAATGTACAAATTTTGAATGTTAGGGATATTATATATACGTGAACTGGAAAAAAGTCATAGATATAATGATATCTATAATTATAATAACATTTCTTATTTGTTTGTCAAATAATATGTTAATAATAATATCGGCAAATAACATATGCATATATATATATATATATATATATATATATATATGTGTGTGTGTGTGTGTGTATTTATGTTCTACTATCATCTAGCATCATTTACATATGTGAAACGTTTATAACACGTCAAAATTTATGGCATGCTATCATGATTAAGCATTAATCATGAATTATATATGTATAACAAGCGATTTTCTACATTCTGTTCACAGAGGTAAGATTTTCGGTCGCCTCTATTTTTATAAACGAGCCACTAATACTGGACATAAATCGGCCATTCTATTATTACATTTGTTATAACGAGGGTACATCGTCCGTATCTCTGTTTAACGGTTGTATGAACATGCCAGAAGTGAAATAGATTTTACTCTACAAAGAATTATCAATTTGAAACTATCTTTAGTAAACAATATTATATTATTTATAAGCAAATTTATAAAATCTTTGGTATTGGCAAGCTATTCCTTCTTATTGTGATTTTTTTTTAGCTAGATATTTTAATTATTGGTCGATCTAATTACGACGATGTGATTTGAAGGTCTTAAATTTTCTAATATCTATATCGTGATATTTATCTGTAATATTTCTTATTGATTTGTCTAATATATAGAATTGTTTAACAACGAATAACATGAATGTATTTACTTTCCGCTTTTTATAGTTAAATAATTACAATCATGGCGGAATATGTAATGATAAAAGAATATTAAGCTTGAAATAAATATGACAAGTTCGACAAAACATATATTTTGATATAGATGTACACATACATATAACGAGCGATTTTTTTCTTTATATATTGTATACAGCTGTGGTACAGATGCGTTTGCCAGCGCAAAAGTCAATCATTAGTATTCGATGTAAACCGATCATTCTTTTATCAAATCTGACATCAGCCATCGAACGTATTTTTTTTCGAAGGCCATAGGTGAATATATCCATATCATACACTGAGAAAAAAAAGTTGTTAACTTGACTAAATGCGTTCAACTGATTATCATTTTTTTAATTGAAATATTTAAGTACTTAAGTCAAATACGTCATGTTAGATTTAATATGTCGTATTTAATTTAAATACTTAAATATTTCAATTAAAGAAATAATAATTAGTTGAACGCATTTAGTCAAGTTAACAACTTTTTTTTCTCAGTGTAGGTAATATAAAATATATCAAGTGTTGTTGATATAGAAAAGATTGCCACACCGATTTTTAAGCCGTGTAGGCTCTATCGTCAAAATTCATCGGAAAATCGGAAAATCGGAAACAAAGTATCTCAAATTATGATTATTTAATGTGATTATTAAAAATGATTACATTAATTAATTAAATATCGCAATAGGATTGTATATTGTATTTTTAATTTCTTCACTAACAAGGGAACCTCGTGAACCCGAAAATTCTGATTTTGATAAAACTTTATAGACATGTAGGGAGTCAATAGATGAATTTAGAAATTTTCAGTTGCGGCCTAAAAACGGTTCTAATTATAAGGAATAATTTCACTCTTTAATCGTTTTTGGGCCGCAACTGAAAATTTTTAAATTAATCTATTGATTGCCTCTACATGTCTATAAAGTTTTATCAAACTCAGAATTCTCGGGTTCCCTTGTAAATAATTTATTTTCATAATATCTATTTTATATTATAAACGATTATTGCTGTTTTTATTTTTAAATTTTTTTTTTTTTTTTTTTTTTTTTATTGAATCTTAGAGAAACACAGTAGATTTGTCGCTTCGTCTTTTGATGCGCATTTCTCTTCTATCGCATAATTATTCCTAATTTTATATATACTATGAATTCTATTGAATTCAATAAAGCTATTATTATTAGCAAGAGATTATAATGAAGGATGGAAAACGGCACTGGCAAAGCGTATACATTTATGTTCCGCACAAGCGAAAAAGACTCGATGAGAAAATTCCTCAAACGAGTATATCAAAACTGATGATGGTATTATATTATATTTGCAGTTATACAATTCATGCTAGTTAGCATGCTAGTAGAACCAGAACCAACAGTTTTTGACGTAAATCGGCCGTTCCACTATTACATTAAATATAACTCGCCAAACGTGGCTTTATTCAAAGGTCACATAATCGAGCCAAAAGTCTAGATGAGCAAAGTAGGCTATCGCAGTTTATTCTTATCTAGAATGCGTAAACTAATTGCTTAACTTGATTTTGCTTTTATACTCACATACATATGCACCTACATACAGATAACATATAAAATTATACGCAAACATAATATGTGCCTGCAACGAGAAGAAGAGATCATTTAATTATTAATGGCAAAATGCTTCTCACAATAATAAAAGATTTATCTTCTATAACCTCGATTTTTAACATATATTTTTTCAATATAACATAAGAACATCAATTATAATCGCTTTTGTCGAGTGTGTGTTAATTTTGATGATTTAAATATATAATTAATATCCAACATCTATTTTTTTTCTAGAAATCGAACTTATAAGGAAGTCCAGGCCATTATGGTTTATTTTCGATGTCGATAGACCTTTCTACTATATCATTAAGCACAGTATTGTTCCACTCTTCAATGGGCATGTTGCGAATTCAATAGCCGATTAAAGAAATCTTTTTCCTTTTGTTTTTATACTATCTTAGCGATGATAGCGAGTGAATTATCATCTATATGTATTTTTTTTCTGTGCTTGATTTAAATAACTATTTTATTAATTAAGTGTTGAGAGTATATATATATATGCGCTATAAATATTAATCAATTACCTCTTTTTCTTTAATTAAATAATATTAAATATAAGATTAAGTATAGGTATATATTATTTTCTTGTTTTATTAAAAGCATACTTCGCCTCACACTTTGCCTCTCAGGAGGCAAAGATTTGGAAAAATAATCCTGCGGGAGATATAATTATTAAAAGACTTACAGAAACATTATTATTACTTTCTCCAAATTTCTATTTTCTACGATTTCAATAAGATTTCTATTTCAGCAAAATAATAGAATCGATAAAATTTCTATTTCAGCGATATCTTCAGCATATAATATAAAATAGACAATACACCATATAATCTTCATACCTCTATCTTCTAATTTTTTATTGCTTGATCGCAAAAATCCTACGATGCGAAAAGACTTTTGACATCGTCCGTGTTCTTGTGTTCAACAAAATCGCTTTGATCGCGATGATAGCACATGACAAAACATCTGTAGGCCGACCTAGTAGTTCCCATGATTTGTGGTCTTAATTTTTTTCTAGATGTAATATTCTTTCCGGGATTTCCGGCTCCTCCACGCGTGCCACTAATTTTCAACGCGGACAGACCCTTCTACTATGCCATTAAGTACAACATAGTATCGCTCTTCGTTGGATTCGTCGTTGAACCTTCAGCGAGTCCTTGATATTCTTCCAGATTGAGAGTTGATGTTGCAAGGTTACAGGATAATTGAATACGATTACAGTAAATGCAACTATCTTAAATCATATTGAATCAATTTGATTCAAACAAATTAACAATCTTCCTGGAAAAGGGATAAAATAAATATTTACATGCAATTAATAAAAATTGTTTTGTCAGCTTCGTGTAATAAATAAGTCATTACGTTGAAATAACAGAAATAAATAATAATTTTTTTGCATCAAATTTTCTTAATATTTGCTTTCACTCTTTAATTTGTTTTAATCTTTTCTCAATGTGTATGTCTCCATTACACAGATATCATTGAATCATCCATTTTCTATCTTTAATAAAACATTAAGGTCATGAGAGCTCTTATAATTCTTCATTCAATCACATTCGGAATGTTTCTTCTCATATCATCCGTAGACAGTTTAAATCTTTGCTTTTTTTAGCAAATGTGTTTTTTTACGATGCTTTAATTATTTTTTTTATCTATCTTTCTTCGTATTACAAAGATATCTCTGTAATTCTGGGAAATCCAAATTTGATCTGTGTAATATGAAGGGTGAACCAGAATCATTGGACACTTTTCAATAGCTAATTATTGAAACAATTGTCGTTTATATATGCTATCTTCTGATTAACGACAATTATCTGACTGCAAAGAAATATAGTAACTCTGGGGCCATCCCGTATTAATATCTACATAGAATGTAGACACAATGCAGTTATCTTTTTTAATTGAAGGGGGAAGGAATATCGCAAAAGGATCGGTGACTTTAGCGATAATCTCAAATCTGGTATTATCGCTAGTTAATGCAATTAGGTGTAGGCTAGTCATCGCCTTTCGTCTCATATTGTAGTTTAGTAAGATGCATGCTGATATTTTTGTTGTGTCGTCCTTCTACATCACAGAGGCAAATAAGGAATAATCATACTGGTCCTTATCTCGTCAGGATTACCGCGCGATCAATCCGATGATCTGTTTCCAGGAGTGCAGATCGAACTACGCTGTCTGGTGATAACGACCACCGTGACAATTGATCGTCCCTTCCTTTATAGTATTATCAGGGTTCATCGGGAGACCGGAAACAGCGATTTTGTGCCGCTATTCATCGGAACAGTTACCGTACCGACTTATTAGCGATCACAATATAAATCGTACGCATGCATATAAGTACATTTAGTTTTTGATAGATTGCTTGAATCTAAAAATAATATTTTACGCCATTTATGAATAATTTTGAAAATTCTCGCTGAAAGTAATTAACTATAGTTTGATTAGAATTGATCTATCTTTGTTTTTTATCGTTGATAACATATTTATATTGTAACTATTTTAACACTTTTCGATTTTTTATTAATATCGGTACAAAAATTCTCGCGCGCGTACTTTTTTATTCACTACATTTTTTTAAATTAAAATAGTTAATATATGAACATATTACATATGTGGATATAGATTATAAAGCCTAATTAATCGTTAACAATGCTATTAATATTTAAATTTGGAATAGAGGCTTGATTTTATTTAACGGTTCTTTTAACAAAATTCAATCTATAAGAAAGAGAATCGTACGTGTGTATAATTTATTAAATATTTTTTGTGATTCTGATTAAAATTTGTCGCGTGACAAATTTTAATAATATTTACATTACGCTTTTGTTGATAAAAATGAAAGCATCAACGACTTTTCAGGTAAATTATTTTAATTACCAGATTTTCAGAGAACAAAAAATATTTTTACATGCCGACTCTTTAAAACCATTTTGCACACCGAAGAGAAATATTGCGACAAAGTGCTTTATACTAGTACAAATAGAAGCAATGTACAACAAAAACACTTTGCGATGACATGTTCGTTTTCCGTGTGAAATTATTCCATAAAAAATAGAGTTTAATTTTAAATATATATGATCATAAATCTTTTTTTATCTAACGTACATACAGATATAGTATCATACATATGTGCATAATATGTACATACATACAGAAACCAAAGAGACAAAGAGAAGAATATTTAATCTCTACTACTTAATTTCTATTATGTTTACCACTTGTACAATTTAGTCACATCCTAGTCTGCACATATTATCGTAACATTATTAATATATATATATAGAAAATATATATTAAGAGAACTTGCCAGGATTATATATTAAATTATAATATATGGAAATAATATATAACTGGTGATCCATTTGCAATATATTCTTGATTGTTAGAAATCATAAATAAAAATATTTCAAGCACCAAATAAATAAAGTAATTATCTGTTTTTTCTCGTATTATATATTATATTACACCAGTATATTATTCGCCAAGATGAATATTATTTATTGCACGAACTTCCAATATCTATTAAATCTAATTTTAGCTTAACAAATCTTTAGTTACTGCCATTGATTTATTTCAAGTGTAATAGTTGAACCTACTTTGCCAGGAGGAATGTAAATCAACCATCCATTGCTTTATAATAGTAGTGCAACGATCAAAATAAAACGCTAAAATTAAGTTAATTATTTTCTTGATATCTTTATAATTTTCATTGTACTCACTTGAAAACTTTCTTAAGAATTAATTGACTTTTTAACAAGCCATATAGCAGTGCAGTATTATCTTATCTCAGAAAGACGAGATTATCTTCAAACGAGATTATCTTCATTCGAAGAATGACAATCTCGATCGTCGATATAATATTGCAATAAAAAATTCAGAACGCGTTAGACTTTTATTATTTTCTATCTACCGTTTCTGCATTTCAACATTTTTCTTTCATTTATTTTCTCCATTGATCTTCCTACCTTGCTACATTCGGACTCTACTTTTTTTCTGCTAATGATAAAATAATAACTTCTTCCGCATTTATGCATCACATTTACGTGTCATATATATCGTTCTGGTGGTGAGTTGACAAATGAACGGAGTTTCATGCACTTTTATTATATTTAATTATATGTTTCAGCGATCGTCATGGATAAAATCTCGATATTATCAATTTCACCGCCGGAGATGCTTTCGATCGATCATCCGTTCATGTATCTTATTGTCAAGATAGATAGAAATTCTAAAAATCTCAACGTCATTACGTTATTTAACGGGCTCATTCATAATCCGTAAATCAGTTATTGTTTATCATTAATCGTCATTCCGTTCTAAGTTTAGATATCATTATTAAATTTTGCATGCATCTAACGTAAACTATTAAACCAACATCTGAAAAAATACATACTGAATTATATACATCACACTTTCTATTATTTATCCCGCTATAGCAAATAACAGAATTCGTTATGGTGATTAGCAGAATTAATTAGTAACACTAATTATCGAGTTTTCTTATCACTAAGTGAATGTCTTGAATATCCGTATTGATCTCACGCGCAATCAACGATTACTGTTGACATATCAGCGTACAAAGGACAATAATTATAATAAAATTATGAAGTAAATTGATTCATCTTCAATGAATATAAAGAATTGTGTTTCCCATTGCAACATTACTCGTGTCTGTTTCGACACTCGCCGTTATATGAGGGACTGCATGATGAATCACATGTTATTATTACATAATCAATATGTTTCAGTAATACTGTTAGTCGAGTTTGCAGTAATTAACCAGATCGACACTATCGTTTCGATCGATCGACCATTTTATTATGCCATCGTCAAATCCGCCAGTACACACGTACAAACAGAACCGCGTGATATCGTAACGCTGTTCTCTGGATATGT